GATTGGATCCCCGTCAACAGTCGTTTATATGCAGGGCGTCTCCAGGGTTCAATCAGCGTCCGGAAGAAAAGCAACACTAAAAGGTGTTTGTTTATCGTATCAGCATATGCACCGACCGATTGCAGTTCTGATACCCAAAAGGACGCTTTCTACGATGAACTCACCGATCTCATTCGGATGAGTAGAAGCTACGACATAGTTGTACTTGCAGGTGACTTAAATGCGCAAGTTGGAAAACTGAGCGCATCACAAGCTTGCCTAGGAGGTATTTGTGCTCTGCCCTGCCAGAAAACAGATGACGGCGATCGATTTCTTCAGTTCTGCGCAGACCATCAGCTGTTCCTATCCAGCAACAACTTCCGTCACAGCTCTCAACGGACAACAACGTGGGGCTCCAATTTAACTGAGCAGCTAACTCAAATCGACCACATAGCAGTAAGCAACCGTTGGCGTGGCTCAGTACAAAACTGCACCTTCGTTGAATCTGATCATGCATTAGTGTTGATGCACTTCACTCTCCAACTCACTGGTCACAAAAACCCCACCAAACTCGGTTGGCAGATAATCGTTTACCTGACCCAGCCGTTCGTACCCGTTTAGAATCAGAACTGGGGGGAAAGCTAAACGCTCTGCGGGGTGGTAGTGTAGATGAACAACGGGATCAGATTAAACGAGCATTGCACTCCGCTGCCAGAGCTTCCTGCGGATCTGAAGCGGTAGCCCGCCCGAGGCATTGGATATCTGATGATTCAGATTCGCCCGGAATCAAGACAGGGTTGGGTGGCATCTGCAACGATAACTCAAGAAAAGCCTCAAGAAAGACCGTGAGAACTGGTGGGCAACGATAGCTGGTGAGATAGAAGTCGCAGCTGCACCAGGGAAAAACTGTTCCAACTGATACGCAACACTGGAGGTCGGTGAACCAGTCAGTGAAACAATCTGTAACAGAATAGGGGACAAGCTATTCACAATAGGGAACAACGGCTTGACCGGTGGGCGGAGTACTTCAACGAAGTTTAGCTGGTCAGGTGCTAATCAGACTATATTGTTGTAGTT